AATAGCCACCAATTGCCTTTAAAACCATTGAACCCCTGAGATAAGATCAGCAGATGAAAGATGAGATGAGTTTTAATCTTTAGCTCGAGCCCTTTCCTTTTCAAAGATTTTCATCTTCTTCTTTCTTATTTTACCGATTTGCTTCATTACAATACTTTTCAAGTTCTTTGCTTGTTAAAACAAACTACCCTTTTTATTCTGCTCCTCGGCTAAATTGCTAATTTATTCGTATGCACCAGATGTCAACCGCAAAATAAATGTGTTCTCCTGATTCTGAACGAGTCGCATACAGTCACATAGAGATGAGAAAGCATAGGTTTTATAGATGGACAGAAGGCGATTAGAAGACAGAAAGTGGGGAAAAAAAGAAAACGTCTGACTATGAACTTTCCTCTGCAATCTGCTACGGCTCCATCCAAATACAGTTATAACAGATGAGTAATTATAACATCCATTCATATCGTTCTTTCACCTTAGATTAATCCCTTGCCCTAAGTATAATGTACCTGATACCACGGTGGGCCTCTTATATAAAAGGGATCTGCATTTCTATTGCTATTCAGTGATGGTGACCAGCGGTTCGAAAAATAGTCCTGGGGCCAATGGGTAAAGCTAAATTCTTGGTTAATCAAATAGCTTCTAAAAAAAAAAAGGTGTGAATTCTTTCTTGATCTCTGAGTTCTTTGAGTTCTTTCAGACTTATGTGGTGGTAGAGTATGAAATGAATTAATTGCTTTTTTGGTATTGGAAAAATCATCTCTATTGATCACTTTCTTTTCTAGGATCCCCCATGAGCCAAGTAGCCCACTCCAATACCGGGGTGTGGTGGTCTGTTTCTGTGGGGCATCAGTTTGCTTTCTGTCTCCCTATCTGTGATCCCTTTATGGCATTGGTGGTAAATTGTCTTGATATGGGGGGGGGGGGGGGAGGCCTCAAGTGCATCCCATCAAAGAGCTGCACATAAAATTTAGTGAATATTCAGTTTTAGAGACAGCAGACAAGCAGACACACAACAGGATATGATAAAAGACTATGGGCATAATACAAGAGACGGTCATAAACTGTGGAAATAATATAAGAGATGGTCAGAGATTGAGCACGTGAAACATGAGATGGTCAGAGACTTTGGACATGCTGCAAGGGACTGTCAGAGACTGAGAATATACCTTAGGAGTTGTTGGAGACTGGGGACATGCCTCAGGAGATTGGAGACATTTTATGTTAGGCTGCAAGAAATCACTAGTATAACAATGCAATAAGGAAATATAGATTAGTGTCTGCAGAGGCCCCGAGGCCCGCAGGTTGAGCCCCAGAGCTTTATGCTTTAAGGCTATCATTGGAGAGTTTGAAGTAGTAATTTTTACATATCTGTAAACATTATGTTTGTAAGTACTAAGGATTTATATGGCACATACTATACATTTTGGTGTGTCGATAATAGTGAATATACTGTATATTGTATTATATGTATGTATTAGTGTAAGAGGGGCTTCGTGGTTGGCTGATTTTGGTGCCCTAGCACAAGGCCCTACCCCCCTCCAGCCCAGCTACACAAGGCCCAGTTAACGATCCTACCTGCTGAGGCTGACCTCTCCGCCATCTTGTGCCCTGTTGCTTGCCATAGGCCTCCTCATGACATTCCCAGCCATAGATCTTTATATGCCGAAGAAGGAATGTCCACACAATAAATAACTTCACTGCACTTTCCTGGAGGTGTTCAGAGAATGGCAAATCAGTCAAATCACAAGGACATACAATCTGGAGTCACTTGACATACAGAGTCAATTACATTAGGCGGATGATCTGTAGTAGTCACAGATGAAAGCACAAGCAGCACCTCAACATCCATCTCCATACAGTCTCTCCTCTGCCCAGGGTCATCAGTACTCACAGGACTGTGTTTTCTGTAGACACCTCCTTGTTAGGTACCCCGTGAACCCCCAGGGAAGCAGCCTCATACAGGGATCTCTAGCCTGGCCTGCATAGGAAAACACATAGTATGTGAATAGAATTGATATATCAGATGGACTTTAAAGGCACATATGCAAGTATAGTTAAAACGTTTTTCCTTCTATTGTTAACAATTTTCTAAAAGAGACACTTTCAATTAGAACACATCACTGGGAACACATTTTGGATGTGTTCTAAATGAAGGTGTCTTTTTTCGAAAATTATTAACAATAAACAGAAAAACTTTTTAACTATATTTGGGTATGTGCCTTTAAAGTCCATCTGATATATCAGGGGTCTCCAAACTTTCTAAGCAAAAGGCCAGTTTACTGTCCTGCAGACTTTAGCGGGGCCGGACCAGAAAATGACCTGGACTCAGTGGGAGTAAACAATACCCCATCTCTGATGTTAGTGAGAGGAACTGTGCCCCATCGATGGTGGCATTGGGAGAAATTGTGCCAATCATTGGTGTCACTGGGCCCCATTCTTGGTATCATTGGGATGAACTATGCCCCATCATTGGTGTCATTGGTGGGAATTGTACTCCATCATTGGTATCATTGGGAGGAATTCTTTGGTGTCAGTGGATTAAATAGTGCCCCAAGGGCCAGATAAAAGCAAGTAAAGGGCCGCATCCAGCCTCAGGGCCTCAGTTTGGAGACCACTGTGAAATATCAATTATATTCACATACCATACTAATTAGGACGTGGCAAGTTGAGTGTCAGTTTGAGCGTATAGTACTACTAAATGGGTTCTTTTTAGAAATATGCAATTAAAAAAAACACATGTAAAGGTCTATAAAGTCCTTTCAGTTACACGCGTTTTGATGTGTAAATGTCCATAAAATGATCATATCAAGAGAACCAGGAGCGCAGGAAGAGAGCACATGGAGACAGATTGCACGGAACCCGATGTAGGGGCATTTATTGAGGAGGTTTTTGGGGTATAGACAATAGATCCGTTAGTCCACAGATCCACATCAGACACAGCAATACAGTAAAGTTCTCTGGAAGGCAATATGGAACAACAGGGGGCCGGTAGTCCACAGGGTTCAGTAGGACAGGGGAGTGGTGGTTTCGTGAGACTTCGGATTCCTGGGGAGAATTGGGCTCAGTCTTTTGGGCAGCATGGGGTTAGCCCACTTACTGGATGCAAGGAGCAGGACATGGAGGGTTACAGTCCACACAGGCAACACAAGGTCAATCCACACAGGCAGCGAAGGGTTAAGTTCACCCACCTCACGGGCAAAAAAAGAGTTACATCCGCCAGGCTCACGGGAACAAAAGGTTAGGTCCAGGCAGGCTCACGGGGAACAAAGGGTTAAGTCCAGGTAGGCTCACGGGGAACAAAGGGTTAAGTCCGCACAGGGGAGAGATCCAGCAGCAGGCTCACGGGGAACAAAGGGTTAAGTCCTCCAAGGAAGAGATCCAGCCAGCAGGCTCACAGGGAACAAAGGGTGAAGTCCTCCAGGGGAGAGATCCAGCCAACAGGCTCACAGGGGGCAGCAGAAGGTTCCTCCACAGTGAGGAGATCCAGGCAGCACAGAGTTAACCCACACAGGGGAGGGATCCAGCAGCAGACTGGCAGGTAGGGGAGCCAGTGAGAGGAAAGGCAGAAGATTGAAGTCCAGAGGAGGCTGGCACAGAACACAGACCTCACTCACAAAAGGCAGGTAGGAGAACACACGGGGCCGACGCCCTGCTCTGCCTTAAGTACAGAGCCAGGCGCATTGCCGTTGCCATGGTAACCCGAGACTTTGTGTCCACTTCACAATTAAGTGCCACTTTGTGTTGGTCTATCACATAAAATCCCAATAAAATACATTTACTTTTTTTGGTTGTAACATGACATGTTCCAATTGTGGAAAATTTCAAGGGGTTTGAATACGTTTTCAAGGTACTATAACATATTGCAGCTTACTAGTCCTTAGGTTTCAGGCTTCTTCTCCTTTATAAAACATTTCCTGTCCTAGGGTGACAACACTCACTCAAGGTACTATATATATGGAAATGAGTTGTCACCCTAGGACAGGACCACAGAACACTTTCCTCTTCTCCTCATCTCCATAATATTGGGAAGGGGGAGGTGATGTGTAGTCCTCATAGAGAGGTGGGAATAATGATAAGTGATAACAGTCAGCACTGGCAGAGAGCACAGGAAGTTATCAGCTCACACAATTTCTGGCAGGATTAACAGGTATTTTTGCATTTACTGATACAACAATGGCATATTTAACAGACCAAAAGGAGGAAAACAAGAGAAGTTCGTTGTAATGGCTTTAAATACGTACACTTTAAAGTATATCTTTGGGATTAGAACAAATCTCCAGAGACTAGCAGTCAGTGGTAGCAGTGCCTTAGATCTCACACTGTAGATATACAGTTATGAGCTTCAGGCATAGGACTGCTAGGCACACTCATATACCAGGAGGCATTGCAGATAAAATGTCAAATTTTTTTAGGGATCTGTTTAGGCACAATTAACATTTTTAGATGTTCCCTATACCATAGCAAATCTTCACATTTATGCCCAACTCCAGGTGAATAAAAAAATATCCCTTGCAGTGGGACTGAACCCATACTACAAGGTGTAATTATTAATGTTGTCTAAGGGAGAGGAGAAACAGTTTTACTTAATTGATCCTTCAGTCCCCCAGCTGGCGGCGCACCCCCCCACGATCCAGTAGTGGATCATCCCTCAGTATTTTCACATCCAGTGCAGGGCTATGGACCCTGCTGTGGTCTTGATGTTGTCAGGACCCTAGACTGGTGGAGTGTGTGGGTTCAGATGCTGCAGAGCTGCAGGTTTAGCTACAGCGGACCGGGTAAGTAAATCTCATTTTATTGTACCTTAGATGGGCAATTGACCCTTGCACTACCGGCACAGGCCCACTGCAAGGGATACTTTTTAATTTTTCTGGAGTTGGGCTCTAAATGTATTAAAAAAAATGTTAAAACAATTGTACGTTCCCTTTAAAAAACATTGCAAAAACAAATTTAGAGTGTTACTAAACGCAGGACCCTGCACTCACTATATCTGGTCTCCCAGGACCCTGCATTCACTATATCTGGTCTCCCCGGACCCTGCATTCACTATATCTGGTCTCCCAGAACCCTGCATTCACTATATCTGGTCTCCCACGACACTGCATTCACTATATCAGGTCTCCCCGGACCCTGCATTCACTATATCTGGTCTCCCAGAACCCTGCATTCACTATATCTGGTCTCCCTGGACCCTACATTCACTATATCTGGTCTCCCCGGACCCTGCATTCACTATATCTGGTCTCCCAGGACCCTGCATTCACTATATCTGGTCTCCCCGGACACTGCATTCACTATATCTGGTCTCCCCGGACACTGCATTCACTATATCTGGTCTCCCAGGACCCCGCATGCACTATATCTGGTCTCCCAGGACCCTGCATTCACTATATCTGGTCTCCCACAGTACACAGAACATAGAAGTACAATTATTTTAGTAAATATAAACTGCTAAATACCTTTTCTCATCAGCAGTTAGAGCAGTCTTGAGACTTTTATCAGTGTCCAGCAGAGCACTGGTTAAAGCTTGTAGGTGGAGTTTTCATTCTGCTCTAACTGTCCTATGAGGCTGCATAACTCCTGACCCTTTGTCTGGACAGTGCTGATTGGCCCTGTGCTGATCACATTCACCCTCCCCCACAAAAAAATCTCCCTAGTAATATACACCAAACTGAGCATGTGCAGAGTGCCTTCTCGGGCTCTGTACTATCAGCAGATGGATTGGGGGCAGTGGAAGAAGGGAAGGATCAGAGAAGACAGGATCAAAAAGCCTTTTTACACAATGCAGAGGATTAACCCCTTAGTACACAGAACATAGAAATGCAATTATTTTAGTAAATATAAACTGTTAAATACCTTTTCTCATCAGCAGTATATAGCAGTCTTGTGACTTCTATCAGTGTCCGGCCGAGCACTGGTTAAAACTTGTAGGAGGTAGACATGTGCAAAACAAAAAAAATAGTTTATTTTCAAAATCTAACAAATTTTGTGTAGTCAGATTCGGTAAATTCGTTCAATTCCTTTTTGGGATTCATTTCGGTAATTCATATTTGAATTCAATTTGGCAACATTTCTACCAAATTCGAAAAGTCGTTCGTATTCTAAATCGGTTCAGCCGAATTCAAAATTGATTTAACAAAATTCGAAAAGCTTTTCGTAATCCAAAAGATTTCAACCGTATTCTAAAAAAAATTCAAAAAAATAACGAGAAGAAGCAGGGGACCAGTCCTTAAAGCGAAACTTCCCCCTTTGGGTGGAGCTCCGCTTTAAATTTGTTTTTCGGATGTTTGTTCGATTTTGTTTTCGCATTTGTTTTTTCGAATTTGTTTTCTAATTGAATTTTGGACGAATTTCGTTTAATTTTTTCAGAATCGTTTACATTTGTTATTTTTATCATTTTAAATATTTCAAAAATGGACCGCGCTAAGGTCGCAAATTGACTAAATAAATTGTGAAATCTTCAAAGTGATAACAATGAGCAAACTTCAAATACAATATTAATATTCAGTCCCAACGTGGATAATTGATGAAACAGTGCCGTATCTTTACGGTGATACTCCATACTGAAATGACAAGAGCTTCACCGTGGTTATAAAGGTGAAGGAACATCGGCCATCAGGACCAGATTGCAGACTGGGATAGTCCCAAAAAGCGAGTGTGACTTACCTAGAGATAGGTGGTCATGAAATGACGGTGAGTTTACATCTATGTGAACACAGTGAAGCACTTGGCATTTCAGGATGGAGTATCACCATTAAAGATACAGCACCGTTGCACCAATTATTCACATGTTGAGACTGAATATTGACCACTTCCCGTGCGGCCGTTGTGTATAAACAGCCGGACAGTGGCAGTGCAGGGTCTGGTGGCCCTTTATAAACGGTCTCCCCGTCCCCTGCTTGTGCCCGTTTCCTGGGAGCGCGCAGCACCGCGTTTCGGTGCCCGCTGTGTCCTCCAGACACAGTGGAACACCGATCGTCGGACGGGACCTCTGTGCGAGGTCCCGATCATGTGACCACTGATTGGCCAATCAGTGATCACATGAATAGTAGTACACAAGATGTCACTTCCTGACATCATTGCTTACTACATGTGAAATCTGTGAATGATCACAGAGGTCACATGGTACAGGGCTATTCACAAACAGCCTTGGACCATATGACAAGCTGTGACCAATCACAGCTCACACAGTATTTCTCAATGCCTGCAATAATTCAACCAGAGAGGAGGAGAAATGATTACTTTTACAGCATTTATGGGTGTAAAAAAAAATTGTCATCACCCCCCACAAGTAGTACAGTGTCACCATGGTGACACTGTACTGCTAGGGTGACAGTATGTTAAAAAAAAAAAAAAAAAACAACAACATAAATAATAAAAAAATAAAATAAAAATGTAAATTTAAAAAAAAAAAATTATAATTTTTGGTTATAAACTAATTTGGGTTATTTTTTTTTACTAAAAAGATAACTGAATACATTTTTGGCCAAGATTTATGATGAAATATTATTTATTTGCAAAATTATATAAGAAAAACACTTTTTTTTTTTTCAAAATTTTTGGACTTTTTCATTTATATAGCAAAAAAAAATAAAAATCCCAGTGGTGAATAAATACCACCAAAATAAAGCTTTATCTGTCTCAAAAAAAATTAAAAAAATTCATATGGGTACAGTGTTGTGCAATTGTCAAAGTGTGACAGCGCTGAAAGCTGAAATTTGGCCTGGACAGGAAGGGGGTGAAAGTGTCCGGACTTGAAGTGGTTAATATTGTATTTGAAGTTTGCTCATTGTTATCACTTTAAAGGTTGCACAATTTTTTTTAGTCAATTTGCGACCTTAGCGTGGTCCATTTTTTAAATATTTACGATTTTGTGTTTGGTAATTCATAATTAGGACTGCTGCTATATAGGTGTCTTATATATAGTGAATTCTTTTTATATATATATATATATGTCATTTTTTTTCCTAAACGCAACAGCACCCTTTTTTCTTTCAACATATTTTTATAATTTGTTTTTGGATACATTTGAATCTCCGAATAACGAAAAAATGTGTTTGAAATGTGATTCGGAACAAAACGAACTGCACATGTCTAGAGGGAGAAGATTTCATTTTGCTCTGACTGCCCTATGAGGCTGCAGGACCCTTGACCCTCTGTCTGGACAGTGTTGATTGGTACTGTGCTGATTACATGCCCCCTATATCTATAGCAATATACACCAAACTGAGCATGTACACGTCTTCTAAAGCTCTGTACTATCAGCAGATGGATTGGGGACAGTAAAGAAGGGGAGGATCAGAGAAGACAGGATTAAACAGCCTTCTTACACAATGCAGAGGATTAACCCCGAAGGTTTCAAAGTGTGTATAACAAGCATGATTTACTGCAAATACAGACTGATTTTACTGTTGTGGGTTTAGTAACCCAACCCAACAAGTGGGCCAACTGATAACCTCCCATGGATTCCAATACCACCTCTATGCTGATGACACCCAGATCTATCTCTCCACTCCCCAGCTCACCCCTTCAATCTCCTCACATATCACAAATCTACTGAGCGACAGATCAGTATGGATGTCACATCACTACCTTTAACTCAATCTTTCCAAAATCGACCTTGTAATATTTCCTCCCCGTTCCCCCACTTACGACTTTACCATTAACCCCCCTGGAGGTATTCCTGAGTGTAGCTTGGGGTAAAGTTTCAGTACCACAAGCGGTCACCCCGAGCTACACTCGGGAATACCCTGCAGCGTTGCTCCGGGATCCCTCGATCACTTACCTTGTCCTGTGCTCCCGCAATGCCCCCCCTGCAGCGTCCCCGGCCATCTCCTCCGCCGATGCCGGCATCCATCTTCCGGGTTCTGGTCCCTGCGAGCGTGGGGATGTATGGGGACGAAACTGGCGGGAAATTTGAAAATTTTAAAAACTGACACTTTCTAATAAACTAAAATCACATAGTAAAACATTCCTGTATCAAACCATTTCACATACATTTTGTCCCTAGTGCTTTGTCCTGTGCCCTGCCTGCATTTTGACTGTTCTTTCTGCCTGGAAATTGAGAAACGTCCATGGCGTCCAAAAAGTGTCCCTTTAGGTCAAAAGCGGTTTTAGACCGGCTAGAGAACAGCGATAGTAAATCAGAACCACTTGCAGAATTGAGTGATAATGATTCGTGGGGGAAATTCGTCATCAGACACTGAAAACGATTCTGCGACTGAGCTCGGCGATGTGCAAACTTGGCGCTATATTTCAAATTTCAGTGTTTTTGGTCTGATTATATTATTGAATTAAATGTATTATTATTATTTTTCAAGTTTTATCCTACCCGGGATGTTTACTAGACTCTTGTTCGGACAGATTTCAGTGAGTTATTCCTAAAAATTACAGGCCTACAATAAAAAAAAATACACATTTCCATGCAAAAAAATGTACCGCTTTGAGCACAGAAATATGGACATAATCAGACCGCTAGGGAGGTTAACCCCCCTGGCGGTATTCCCGAGTGTAGCTCGGGGTAAAGTTTCAGTACCACAAGCTGCAACCCCGAGCTACACTCGGGCTTACCATGCGGCGTTGCTCTGGGATCCCTCAATCACTTACCTTGTCCTGCGTTCTGCGATGTCCCTCCTGCAGTGTCCCCGGCAATGTAATCCGGCAGATGCCGGCATCTGTCATCTGGGTTCTGGTCCCTGCAAGCGTCGGGACGTATGGGGATGGAACTAACGGGAAATTTGAAAATGACAAAAAGTGACATACACTAAAATCACATAGTATTCCATTACTTTATCAAACCATTTCACATACATTTTGTCCCGAGTGCTTTGTCCGGCGCCCTGCCTGCATTTTTACCGTTCTTTCTGCCTGGAAACTAAGAAACGTCCATGGCATCCAAAAAGCGTCCCTTTAGGTCAAAAGCGGTTTTAGACCGGCTAGAGAACAGTGATAGTAAATTAGAACCACTTGCAGAATTGAGTGATAATGATTCGTGGGGAAATTCGTCATCAGACACTGAAAACAATTTTGCGACTTTGCTCAGTGATGTGCGAACTTGGCGCTATATTTCAAATTTCAGTGTTTTTGGTTTGATTATATTATTGAATTAAATTTATTATTATTATATTATTATTTTTTATGATTATTTATTAAATTCTAATTTATGATTTCATGTTTCAAATTTATCATACCCGGGATGTTTAATAGACTCAGACAGATTTCAGTGAGTTATTCCTAAAAATGACAGGCCTACAATATAAAACGGCAAATTTCCATGCAAAATAATGGTACCGCTTTCAGCACCAAAAATCTGAAATAATCAGACCGCCAGGGAGTTTAAATTCTAATTTATGATTTCGTGTTTCAAATTTTATCATACCCGGGATGTTTACTAGACTCTTGTTCGGACAGATTTCAGTGAGTTATTCCTAAGAATTACAGGCCTACAATATAAAATTACATATTTCCATGCAAAAAAATGGTACCGCTTTCAGCACAGAAATATGGACATAATCAGACCGCTAGGGAGGTTAAGATCA